GTACATACAATTCTAACAAATTTTGGGGACTCTGGGGTATGTAATGGAATTATTTAGGGCAGCTTCAATCCATCTGTATGTGTTTATATCAGTATTTGGAAGAACAAGAAAAGTCACCTCTTATCACCAACACTGGTACCAATATGATGCTCTTTATTGGTTTGGTATTTGCATATGGGAAATTTTATTGCCATTAATTTTCTCCTGCAATGCTGTAATCTCTGTACAGTAATGAATGGTCTGGTGGACATTTTTTGTATAAGTAATATAAATAAGTATAGAAAATTAAAGCATGTTAATCTCAAACAACATTTATAAAAGTTGATACTTTTTAAGAAGCATACTAAATATTTATCCATCTTAAGTGGTTGTAAAACTCATGGAGACAGCTTTGACCTCTTTGGGTTAAGGCTGGTGGAGGTCTCTAGGTTAGAATTTACTGAAAGAAAGCTCTGAGACAATTGAAGCACATAAGATTAAGAGATGATGCTAAAAGTTGCGATCATTGTGGAGACTTGGAATGTGCAATGAGATTTTAGATTTCCAATAAAAGTGACCTATTGCCACTCTAGGTCATTCCATGTTATCCTATGTAAGGCCACTTCTTTTTAAGCATCTGTGCGTCTGCTTTTCAGATTAGTGTATATGGCTGCTGCTGTAAATGACTCTGAAATTGGAATGCAGTCAACCTTGCTAAATGTTTTCTCCTGATTCCTCAGCCTAGATGTCACTCATCTTCTACTCTCTTACAGAAATATACTTTCCATCTTATAATTTTATTAGAAAATGTTTTCCAGAAGGGTACAGGGTAGGAAGACAAAGCATGCCTGCTAAATAAAGTCTGTTGGATTATAAGTATTAACTAAATAGATATCTATTCAGTGATACTCAGCCTTATATATGAAACTGATATTTAAAATATAGAATGCATAATAAAAATAATTGTCATATTGTATTACAGTATAATATTAAATACTGTAATAATACAAATAATACTACACAAGTATATTTGATGATGGTTTATTTAAAAAACTGATAAAATGGTGAATACAAAGGAACTGTTGTCTAACCACATAAATCCGATAATTTTGATATTTTGATATCCATGCTTAACACATTTTCTAAAATTTCATTTGAAAAAGGGAAGCTTATGTCCCTTAGCTATGATGTCAAATATAGGATACCTGCTTGATCAAGGATGTAAGATACCTTACTTGATATTCCATTGTACAAGTAGTCCTTGACTTATGACCACAATTTGGATCAGAATTTCCATTGTAAGTCATTACAATTGTAAGTTGGGCCAGACCCAATTTTACCATAATTTTTATGGTGTGTCAAATGAGTCCCTGCTTTTGTTAAGTGAATCTAGTTTCCCCAATGGGTGGGGTTTTTTTCTGGATATCGGCAAAAAATGTTGCAAATCAAACCAAGTGACTGCAGGATGCTATAATTGATCAGAAATATGGACAGGTTACCAAGTTCCCAAATTTCAATCATATTACGAGGGTGGTGTGATGGTTGTAAGTGTAAATATACGTCATAAGTCACATTTTCTGAGGGCATTGTAATTTGAATGGTTGTTAAATGAACAGTTGTAGGTTGAGGGCCACTGTTTGAACCACTTTTACAGACTATTAATATTCATCCTTTGCTATATACCGTATATTATGGAGTATAAGACACACTTTTTTCCCTCCTAAAAGAGGGTGGAAATGTTGGTGCGTTTTATACACCAAATACAGCCATTTTTGGCCTCCTGAAGCCCTGCCCCGCTCGTTCCATTTTTGTGAAAAATGGGCCTGTTTTTTACGAAAAATGGGGCATGCAGAGGGTTTGGGAGGTCTGCAGAGTGCTCCATTAATCGGGGTGTTTTTGCCCTCCCCCAGCCCTCAGGAGCACTCTGCAGGCCTCACAAACTCTCTATGCACCCCATTTTCTACAAAAATGGGCCCAGTTCTTACTTACCTCTTTGAAATCTTGGTGCGTCTTATACACTGGTGCATTTTATAGTCCAAAAAATATGGTAGTTGGATCCTGATTTCCTTAGCACATAGAATAATAAGATGCCTGCCGTGGCTTTGAATGGCAGGCTCTGCAATTGTAGTTTAAATATTGAGGGAGATCCAAATTTAGCCAAAAAGAGCAATGAGCCCTCCTATAGGAACTTGATGGGAGGGGGGAAGGGAGACAGAAACAGGTTGTGACAAATAATGATAATGATAATGATAATGATAATGATAATGATAATGATAATAATAATAATAATAATAATAATAATAATAATAATAATAATAATAATAATAATAATAATAATAATAATTTTATTTCTATACCGCCCTTCTCCCGAAGGACTCAGGGCGGTGTGCAGCCAATTTAAAAACACAGGACACAACAATGATTAAAAATTAAAATAATTAAATAAATTTGGCCGATTTAAAACCCCAAAAATTTAAAATTATTATATTGATAGCCCGGCCTGGCGGAACAACAGGGTCTTCAGTGCGCAGCGAAACGCCCGGAGGTCGGAGATCTTACGTATTTCCGGGGGCAGTTCATTCCACAGGGCTGGGGCTCCCACAGAGAAGGCCCTCCCCCTGGGTGTCGCCAGTCAACATAACTTGGCTGATGGCACCCTGAGGAGACCCTCTCTGTGGGAACGGACTGGTCGGTGGGAAGCTATTGGTGGCAGAAGACGGTCTCGAAGGTACCCGGGTCCTATGCCATGGAGCGCTTTAAAGGTGGTAACCAACACCTTGAATCGCACCCGGAAGACCACTGGGAGCCAGTGCAGCTCGCGCAGGAGGGGTGTCACGCGGACACAACGAGTTGCGCCCATAACCACCCGCGCGGCCGCATTCTGGACCAGTTGGAGCCTCCAAGTGCTCTTCAAGGGGAGCCCCATGTAGAGAGCATTACAATAGTCCAGCCGGGAGGTGACAAGGGCATGAGTGACTGTGCGCAAGGCGTCCCGGTCCAGAAAGGGCTGCAACTGGCGGATCAGACGAACCTGATAAAAGGCCCCCCTGGCCACGGCTGTCATATGCTCTTCTAAAGACAGCCGTGCATCCAGGAGGACACCCAGATTGCGAGCCCTCTGTGTGGGGGGCAAAGATTCACCCCCAATAGTCAGCGATGACACCTGCTGACTATATCGGGACGCCGGCAGCCACAGCCACTCAGTCTTGGATGGGTTGAGTCTGAGCCTGTTCCTCCCCATCCAGACCCACACGGCCTCCAGGCAGCGAGACATCACATCAAGGGCATCGTTGGGGTGGTCTGGGGTGGAGATGTACAGCTGAGTATCATCAGCGTACAGATAACACTTCACCCCAAAACCATGGATGATCTCACCCAGAGGCTTCACATAAATGTTGAACAGAAGAGGCGAGAGGACCGACCCTTGTGGCACTCCCCATGCGAGACGCCTCGAGGTCGACCTCTGCCCCCCTGCCAACACGAACTGCGAGCGGTCGGAGAGGAAGGAGGAGAACCACCGCAGAACGGTGCCCCCTATTCCTAACCCTCTCAACCGCTGCAGCATGATACCATGGTCGATGGTATCAAAAGCCGCTGAGAGATCTAATAGGACTAGGACAGAGGAGCAACCCCTGTCCCGAGCCCTCCAGAAATCATCCACCAACGCGACCAATGCCATTTCTGTGCTGTGCCCCTGCCTGAAGCCCGACTGGTACGGGTCTAGATAGATAGCTTCATCCAGGTGCCTGGGCAGTTGTCGTGCCACCACACTCTCAACAACCTTCGCCACAAAACAAAGGTTGGAGACCAGACGGTAGTTAGCTAATTCAGCCAGGTCCAGGGAAGGCTTCTTGAGGAGGGGCCTCACCACCGCCCCTTTCAAGGCGTCGGGAAAGGCACCCTCACTCAGAGAAGCAGTTATAATCCCCTGGAGCCAGCCTCATGTAACCTCCCGGGAGGCCAGTACCAACCAGGAGGGACACGGGTCCAATAAATATGTGGTGGCACTAATCCTACCCAGAACCCTGTCCACATCCTCGGGAGCCACAGGATCAAACTCCTCCCAGGTAATACTCTCAAGACCTACCCTCGTCTCCTCCCCCGGACTCACCCAGTCGGAGTCCAAGCCTTCCTGAATCCGAGCGACTTTATCGTGCAGGAATTGCACAAAATCCTCAGCTCGACCCTGCAAGGGATCCTCCCGCACTCCCCCCCGAAGAAGGGAGTGGGTCACCCTAAACAGGGCGGCTGGGCGGTTCTCTGCAGATGCGATAAGAGCGGGAAAATGGTTAGATTTCACCGCTTTTATCGCCACTAGGTAGGTCTTGATATAAGACCTCACCTGGGTCCGGTTGGAATCAGAATGACTAGTCCTCCAAATGCTCTCTAGGCGTCTTTTCCAACGCTTCATCTCTCTCAGCTCCTCAGAGAACCAAGGAGCCAATTGAGATCGGCATCGGGTCAGAGGCCGCAAAGGCACAACACGATCCAAAGCTCCGGCGGCCACACTCTCCCAGGCGGCCACCAGCTCTTCAGTCGAGTCGTGTGTCAGAGTCTCAGGAAACGGCCCAAGCTCCGTCAGGAATCTTTCGGGATCCATCAGGTGCCTGGGACGGAACCATTTGGTCGGTTCCGTCTCCCTGCGGCAGGGGGAAGCGGTAGGAAAGTCCAAGTGAAGGAGCGAATGATCTGTCCATGACAAGGGTTTAATGTCTAAGTCCCCTCTACCAAGATCATTCAACCACTGACCAGAGATGAAAATCAAGTCCAGAGTGTGTCCCCCTATGTGAGTGGGCCTTGAACTAACTGGGTCAGGTTCATGGCCATCATGAACTCCCGAACCACCTCTGATGCCTCACCCGCGGATGGGAGGTTGAAATCCCCTATGACAATAAGTCTGGGGGTATCCACCGCCACCCCGGCGATGACATCGAGTAGCTCGGGTAGGGTCGCTGCCACCAGATGTTCTCTGGTTCATAGAACAAGAACACCAAATCTGCTTTTCTTTTCTTTTTCAACAGGTGGTTTACAAGTCCAACAACAGTGAATGCCTTTTACAGTTCATCTACAAATCAGATCAGTGAGTACTTGACTAAATCATGATTTAATTACTTATCTGAGAAAAAAGAATATCCTTCAGCTTCTACAAGCAGTGCTCCTTCTCACAGTTTTAAAACTGTTATTTCCTCATACTGCACAAAAATGCCCACTAGGTTTAGAAACTGTGTCCTCATAAAAAAATACTACTATGAAGTGCATTGTATGTTTACAAGCAGGTAAATATATTGCATTTGGTTTTACATATTCAGGATATAAAGAGAGAAAGAGAAAGAGGGAGAAAGAGGGAGGGAGGGAGGGAAAAAGAAAGAACGAACGAACAGACTGCATAAAAATATCCCTTCTAAGAAACAAGTAATATTACCTTTATGAAGTAATAAGGCACTTGATCACTTCTTGATTCTGATACAAATGTCACTAGTAAATCAAGGAATCCATAAAGCAAGCAAGCAGGCAGGCAGGCAGGCAAGCAGGCAATCAATCAAGCACGCAAGGAAGCAAGCAAAAAAATCCCATACTCATTAAGGCCATTCACTGTCTAGTAATTTACAATGTCACCCAGCTTTGTTGAGGAAATATAAAACTGTATAGTGGTGTATGTTTTTATGCCTGCCATCAATTAAGCAGTGATAAGCTTTCGAGCTTAATGGCAGTGGTCTAGTTTTCTAGTGTCCTTACATTTCATCAGCAGGAAAAGTTTTGCTACTGGTAAAACATCAGGACACCAGAAAACTACACCACAGCCTTTCAGCCCAAAATCATATCACTGCTTGAGCGTAAAACCCATCATTATTATTCTGATCCTGGTAAAACAACAATAATTCTAAATTTTTGAAAATTAGGGAACAGGTCTTCCTCAACTTGGATGCTTGGATTATCCAAGTGTAAAAATTACAGTTTACTAACAAGATGAATTGCTCATAGAGATATAATAATTGAGTCTGATTTTTTAAAGTGTGTAACTTCAATGGTTCCCATGTGCAGTGCACATTATTATGGAATTCTGGAAAACATTTCATTTTCATCCATTGTTTCATATAACTTATTTATTATATTTATATGATTTAGACAGTAATTTGTAATGAGAATAAGTAATTTTGAACAATGGAGGCAGGTTGTTAAGAATTTGTTCTAGCATTATAGATGTTTCTACCACTTATGTAATCATTTTTAGGCAGGATTTCATGGGTCCCATTGTTTAGGCATTAAGAGGTTGTTCTCATTCAGAATTTTTAGATAACAAATTAGCTATGAATGAAATGCATGTCGTTCTTGAAAGTTTTGTTGATTGGGATTTCTAGTAGTGATGTCACAGTGAAGTGGTGCGGGGAAACAGGGCTCCGTTATCCCCACCCAATTTCTCCTGTCTGGTGACCCTTAATGGGAACCCCAGAGAGGTTACCAAAGGCAGAAGGGAAGCCCCGAAGACAGTGTGGAGAAAGGCGATCTCCTGCTACAGCGAAGGGAAACCCTTGGTGCCAATGGGAGAATAGACAGTCAGCATGGCCGAACCGAAACTGTGACAGCTAGGCAAGAGACTGGAAGGCAAAAATCAAGAAGCAATGTGGATATGCTGGGTGAGAACTTTTCAATTCTAACTCTTTGCAATGGATTTACCCTGGTATAGTAATAGAAAAGTGTGAAAGTGTGATTCAAAAAAGACTGGAGCAGGATTTTCGCTTCATGAGAGTAGCAGCAACTAAGTGGTTAGAGCCATTGACAAGATCTGGAATAGAATTACAGAACAATTATAAAGAATCAGAGATCAAGATGGAGGAAAGCCTAGACTAACTACTTTGAAAGATCTTTAACTTATCTTTATTCCTTTTTTTTTTTGACTGAGGTTGAACTTAAAGTATTTGGAAAGAAGCTTTTTTTAATATTAAAAAGAGTAAGAGCACCATCTACTGACAAGAGGAATGCATATAAAAGTGAAGTGATTGATGCAATATTTATAAAGATTACAAAAAGACTTTTGTGACATTTAGAGGACATTAATTAAGTTTGAATAGGGAAGAGTGAAAAAGAAGATAAATATTTTCGGTGAACTTGGAAATTGTATAATCATCTAGGTGTTGGTCTGGAAAAACTTCAGTGACCTGATGGGTTTTGGGGCCTTTGTGGATTATAAATATTAACCTGCAAAAAGACATCCAAAAGAACTATAACAACAACAGTGGGGACAAATTTAGTGTGGATTACAAATTTGATTGTTGAAGAAAGAAGAAACTGAAGAAACGCCTACACTTAAGACTGATGAGTAATCAATAGAGCCAATAGAAGTATTAATTTTCACTGATTAATATTAACTATTAATTATTATTTGTTCAGGTTAAAAGATATACATATATATTCTATATATTTTATTGAGTTGTCGGTTGATCTCTACTGTTATAATAATAGAGTGTTGAAGGAGGTATTCCGGGGGTGTGGGGAAAAACTCCTAGCAGTGTAATAATAATTATTGTATTTGTTATTTTGGATAAATATTTTTTGACCATTACCGATGACAAGCATATCAAACATATTAAAGATAGGAAAGAAAACCTCATCAGCGCTCTCATCAGCAACATCATCCCCATCTAATCAATGATTGATAGAAAGCATGCTAGGCTTGGAGAAGTCAAGCTCTATGCAGAATATGGAAGCGATGTTACTATCCAAGAAGCCATGACTAAAACTCAGGAAGCCATGTCCAAAAACCATGATGAGATTAAAAGCGAAATGGAAGAGATGAAGGGGGATATATGTAAGATGGCTCAAAAGATAGGGAACATCCAGCAAATGATAATGAAGAATTAGCAGAGGATACAGAAAGTAGAAGTAAGGACTGAACAAATGGGGGGGGGGGGGATGGATGGAAGAAATGGACCAAAAACTATCCTTGGCTAACAGAGAATTAGAAGAGACAATAATTTTTCTTGAAATGGAAAAGGCGGCTTTTTATCTGAGATTTCAGAACATTGTTGAAGAGAAAAAGGAAGACCTGTTTGAGGTGATGATAGATTTGCTGGTGGAAGTATTACAGAAAAATAAGCATGATGTACAAAGAGACATAGACAAAGTATTCAGAATCCACACAAACTATGCAAGAAGGCACAGCTGAGGACTTTGTGCAGTATCTGTATGACAAAATCGCTCAGATTCGGGAAGGGCTGGCCTCTGACTGGGTATGTCCGGACGGGATGACTGAGGCAGGTCTTGAGAGTGTTATCTGGGGGGAGTTCGATCCTGTGGCTCCCGAGGACATGGACAGGGTCCTGGGATGGCTGAACGCAACCACATGTTTATTGGACCCGTGCCCCTCCTGGTTGGTACTGGCTTCCCGGGAGGTGACACGAGGCTGGCTCCAGAAGATTGTTAACGCTTCTTTGAGTGAGGGGGTCCTGCCGGCCGCTTTGAAAGAAGCGGTTGTGAGGCCCCTCCTCAAGAAGCCCTCTCTGGATCCGGCTGTTTTGGCTAACTATCATCCAGTCTCCAACCTTCGCTTTGTTGCGAAGGTTGTTGAGAGTGTGGTGGCGCAACAGCTTCCCCGGTACCTGGATGAAGCTGTCTATCTAGACCCGCTCGAGTCCGGCTTCCGGCCTGGGCACAGCACGGAAACGGCATTGGTCGCATTGGTGGATGATCTCTGGAGGGCTCGGGATAGGGGTTGCTCCTCTATCCTGGTCCTGTTAGACCTCTCAGCGGCTTTTGATACCATCGACCATGGTATCATGTTGCACCGGTTGGTGGGGTTGGGGGTGGGGGGCACCGTTCTGCGGTGGTTCTCCTCCTACCTCTCTGACCGGTCGCAATCTGTGTTGACAGGGGGCAGCGGTCGACCCCGAGGCACCTTGCTTGTGGGGTGCCACAAGGGTCGGTCCTCTCGCCCCTTCTGTTCAACATTTATGTAAAGCCGCTGGGTGAGATCATCCATGGCTTCGGGGTGGAGTTCCATCAGTACGCTGATGACACCCAGCTGTACATCTCCACCCCAGGCCACCCCAATGATGCCCTTGAAGTGATGTCCCAGTGCCTGGAGGCTGTGCGGGCCTGGATGGGGAGAAACAGGCTCCGACTCAACCCTTCCAAGACCGAGTGGCTGTGGCTTCCGGTGTCCCGATATAGCCAGCTGACGCCATCGCTGGCTATTGGGGGCGAATCACTTGCCCCCACGGAGAGGGCTCATAACTTGGGCGTCCTCCTGGATGCACGGCTGTCGTTAGAAGATCATTTGACGGCCGTGGCCAGGGGAGCTTTTTATCAGGTCCGCCTGATACGCCAGTTACGCCCCTTTCTAGATCGGGACTCCCTATGCACAGTCACTCAGGCACTCGTCACTTCCCGCCTGGACTACTGCAACGCTCTCTACATGGGGCTCCCCCTGGGGTGCACCCGGAGGCTCCAGCTGGTCCAGAACGCGGCCGCACGGGGGATTATGGGGGCGACGAGGCGCTCCCATGTAACACCTCTCCTGCGCGAGCTGCACTGGCTCCCTGTGGTCTTCCGGGTGCGCTTCAAGGTGTTGGTGACCACCTTTAAAGTGCTCCATGGCTTAGGGCCGGGGTACTTACGAGACCGCCTTCTGCCACAAATAGCCTCCCACTGGCCAGTACGCTCGCACAGAGTGGGCCTCCTCAGGGTGCCGTCCGCCAGACAATGTCGGCTGACGACTCCCAGGGGGAGAGCCTTCTCTGTGGCAACACCCACCCTCTGGAACAACCTCCCCCCAGAGATACGTACAGTACGGATTTTTCGTCGGGCCCTGAAAACCCATTTATTCCAACTAGCGGGGCTGGCTTGAATTAATTTTAAATTGATTTTAAATTGGGTTATTTTAATTTACGGCCAATAATATTTAATTATTTTAAATTGCTTTTAAATTTTGTATGTATTGTTTTTTACTCTGGCTGTTCACCGCCCTGAGTCCTATTCTGGAGAAGGGCGGTATAGAAATTTAAATAATAAATAAATAAATAAATAAATTACTGAAAGAGTTGCCCGTGAGGTTCACCAAAAAGACATTGAGAGATGAAGTAT